TATATATATATATATATATATATATATATATATATATAATGGTTCAAGATTAAGTAATAAATTAACGCTTTAGACCATTTAGAATTGTTAGGATGATTTGTCGCCTACACCAATACAGCGATATCAGCTTTCTATTCTTGTACACTGAATATAGAAAGCTGATATCGCTGTATTTGACAGATCATACTTTCGTTCAAACATATATATCAAATCATTATCTAGATAAAAAGAAAAATAATGGGTTACTAAAAATATTAAGGAAACACTACAAATAATTTTTTTCCCCTACATGAACTAAATTGAATATCACGTTTTTCGTATATAACAAGGAAAGATAACAACATAGTTATTAGTTACACATTTTATTTTAGGAAAATTATTGCAATATTTACAAACGCTGATTGGAGGTCTAATAAGTTGTAGCTAAAAAATAAATAAAGTTAGTCATTCTATGAGCGACGTATTTAAATTAATTATATTGTTTAATTTAATAATGATAACGATATTAATTTAATAACATTGTCAATATGCCAGGTTAAACCCGATAACGTCTTCAATTATTAATATGAGAAAGCAGGCAAAGATACTCTGTATCTGAAAACGATTTGATCGTTTCTTATTACGGTGCAAATGTATATTAGGCATCAAAGTAATGAAAATAGAGTAGAGCCATTACTTTAGTTTAGACATTATTTCCTCGTTATAGCTTATATCATGCGTAATATACCTAAATATAATGAGGATGGACGGACTGGCTGATGGACGTCCGGATTGGTAGATGGATGAATTGACAGATATAGTTAGAATGATAAATATAATGAGATGAGATGATAAAATTAACAGATAAATAAACTGTTGAATACACAGATTTATAATTTATTATAGCTATAGAATGATGGTTGCAACTCTACACGAACGAGCCGCTACGTGGTGCCTATGCTGATGACGATGTCAACCAGTTTCGTGCGAATAGGAGGACCCTTCCGATCTGTCATCGAACGTCATCCCATCCTGTAACGATCGGAACATCACCTAAAAAATGGGGTCAAGTAGAAAGTATGATCTGATTAAAAGAAAATATATATAACGCTCGATCTGCGTTGACCATCGTTGAGGCCGTAAGCAAGGATACTGGTCAATGTCAGCAGTAAACTAAGACTACTAATAAACACTATGGATATTTTCGAACACATATGAACTGTTTTTAACGTTTATGATTAGAGAGGAAAACGTCACGATTATATTCGGACTGTCACATTTAACTTTACGCTAAAGTTTACTCAACACGTTCACGTTCATTACGATGTCACACTGTCTGGACTAATCAGTATATATATATAGTGCGGTAGACTGCAGAATATTTATATTGTAATGACACAATTTCATCGTTTAATTTATGGTCAAAGTGAAATATGCACGAATAATAATTCACTTAAGCCATACAGTCGATGACGAGAGCGTTCTTTCCTTATTCGCAGGCGGTGATCCATTTTCCTGTAATTTAATTATAGGTGGGAATTATGAGATACCGTCTGATATTACCACACCGCCTCGCTAGGCCTTCAGAAAATTACGACCAGGCATCTTAAGACTGTAGTAATTACCATGGTACTCGTAATCGGCCATGATTTCATTTAATAATTCATAATTGAATAATAATTCAATGATAATAATAATAAATTTTAATAGCAATTTAAAAGCAAAGTATACACCACCAGTATATATAGCATGAAAACGCCATGTATTTCAAACAGGGGGCCTGAATTAGCACCACTGGATATATTTGCATATGAACAACATTACTAACGTAGTGTTATTAATAGTGCATAGTGTTTGCTGAGAACTAACCTGGGCGCTGTGGAACAGTTCCATATAGATAGGCAGTCCATGGCACATTTGGACGTGAGAGACTAGATCCCAGCTGTTGGCGAACAGCTGCTTGCATGCCGTGCAACATAGCTTCTCTGGTTCGTTGTCTGTGTGAAAAAAACACATTATGTATAAACGCATACAATGGCGACCAACTGCCTAAAAGAGGCGATTTGACTTTAACATTATCAAGATGTAGAAGACCAATGAGAGGGAGAGGGGAGAAAGGAAATGAGAGAGAGGTGGGGAGAAAAAGAGGAGAGAGGTAGCGAAATGAAGCGAGAGAGAGAGAGAGAGAGAGAGAGAAAGAGAAGAGAGAGAGAAGAGAAGAGAGATGGGAAAACCAGTTTATAGACTACGTGGTAAGTACAGATTAAATTTATGTACATTGTCAGAGATGTTAGATAAATAAAACTACAAAATTCATTAACGACAAAAATCTCCAGTTTACCCCCGTAATTCTTTGAAATCCTCAATAAATATCTAGTATCGATATTCTCGGCACGTACGCCTACAGGCAAATGTACCTTGTTTTTTTGAGAGCTGTTGGCACTTGCATGTAACACGCAGCTTGCAACGTGAACGCTTGTGGCCCACCAACATCGCCATGTCTTCAAACTGGTCCTTGCAGTTGCCGCATATCAGAATATCTGGCGACGCTGAAATACGAGCGTTTCTAGTGTAGCTGAATACAAAATCTCCAAACGGACAAGGCACTGCTGCGAAACCTCACATTAGTAGTTGTATATGACTAGTAGTTGGTTAGTACAGCCACTTATGGTAGTTGTATATTGAGCTATACCGTTTAATAAAGATTATTACAAACATAAGGGTAGCTATAGAATGTTTAAGATTCTATCATCATTGGCAATATAGGGACAATAAGCGATCAAGTCGCAAACTTCTTCTTGCGACGAGAAACCCAGAGTTTGATGTCATCGTTGCTTATGTATTTAACTATATACGAAGAACATGGTTTCCAAGCTAACATGGTTGCCACATGTTTGGAGCCGAGTGAAGCATGCAGCACTAATACACTGATCCATATCGCGTGTAAAGTGTTGATCGTGTGGGCTCTACTGCAACTAGTTGCTGTTCCATATCGCAGGAGGTCTTACTGGGGAAATAGTATATCACTTACCGACACGACGTCCAGTGAGAAACCTAATACAACGCGTGTTCCGATCGTTATAAAGTCAAATCACATTGAATAAAACCCACCGTTTCCGTACACGAGCCTTTCGTTGCCTGCTGCCTCCATTGAACTTGAACGCGTTATTTTTAGATCACCCCTACTGTAATTTTCTTTTCATAGCTTGGTTTGAGATGCTCGCAGTATTTAAAGCTGCATATAGACTATAGAGGGAAATAGAGATCTATAGTAGCCGTTATATGAGAATGTGTGCATCACATTTGTAGCGAAAGTGGCATGTAGTTATAGCTATATATATATATATGCGTATTGTATTCTACATAATAAGAACTACATACATAACTACATGTTGTTATTTCTACTATATATGATCATTATAAGCTTCTACATAATTATACTTAATTACTGCATCCGAGTGAATGCCGGGTTGGTGCCATTTATCTACATGCCTCTAAATGACTATTTTGCTAACCTCGTTACCTTTCCATCGACACAGGCGGACGTCACACGTACGTGTTGTGTAAAATCTCTATCTACTTGGATGTTTAGCTCTCTTTCAACCCTAATATCAATAGCCACGCATGTCTATTTATGCGATCATCCGTAGATTCGTATGACATAAATCATGACGTCATCGCTTCCGACGACGTCAATCATTACCTAGTGGCTTACCATGACATCGGTCACGACATAATTGCTTAATTACTGTGACGTCAATCGTGACGTAATCGCTCACCGTATGACATCAGCGGGGCCTCTGATGACGTCGTCTGATGACTGTTATTGGAGCAACAGCCGCTGTCACGCTGCAGTTTCTGCTTCTTTGAATAACTGCAAAGTTACGCCACTGTCAGATATGTGATCATTATTAGGTATTGCAATTATAAACGTTCTAAAAACGTTGTTTAGGTAGCGCAGTCTCACAAAGTATACAATTTGGCGTGCGCGCGTGAATATGAACGACCGCGTTACAATATCCAAAGCGGGTGTGGTTATTTTTCTCTCAAAGACAGGTCAATTGGAAGATCATGTTATACTGAAGTCTTTATACTTGCCATTCCTCATTCAGCGCCCTATTGAAAATCTGACTCGACTTTGGCTCGCAGGCAATATTAATGTCTGTGCAAATATAATAAAAAAGGACATTAAACGTTGCTAACATTGGCTCTCCTAATCATGTTCACTAGCTGCTATTTCATACGCCGTAAGATTTATTAAAACGCGCAGAAATTTGTAGCTTGGCTTTTTAACTTGAAACGGTACTACCGTTGTTTTGGTCTGCGTTATTCGGTATTGTTGATAGACGCCGCGGGTGGATGTCGAGACTAATAGAAGGAGCGACGCACGGGTAAACGGACTGACAGTAGGCTCAGACAGACTGAAAGACTGACGACTAGAGTGCGGACGGATAGGCGGGCGAACAAGACCTAAAAGCATCAGATGAGCTGTATCAGTCAGAAGCAGTTGATAATATAACGAGTTATACCTGCATCTTTTCATCTTACGCTACAATCTGCCTTATAGCTTGGCGTATATATTTATGGAAGTATTGCCCCCAAGACGAAACCATGATGTGGCGGGCGTGTGTGTAATTAATGTGTACAAATACGGTCAAATACGATACAGTTTATTGAACAGATGTATAGCATGTGACTAGCACGTGAATGCCGAGGACCGTTGTATATATAGCATCTGGTGCAATGATCTTAGATGTGCTCTTAATTACGGTTCGTCGCAGTCCGTGTGAAATGCGTTATTTTGTGCAAACAATGTTTATGCTTATTTTAAATAATGTTTTCCCGTCGTCTAATACATGCGATTTTGTAATTATGAATAGTTCGGTGATGACTGCATAGACCTTTCGATCTCCCATCGCGCTGACATTTTACCCGCGTTGTTACTTTATATATGAAATTGCGATGAGTAATTATCTTGAACTAAACTGCATTGAATTAATACTCAGCAATTATATTGAAATGTGTTAGATAGCGCCAGAAAACGCGAACATTCTGGGGGTACATTCTATAGTGCCTCTGATATATTGCAGGCATATCGTGTGAAATCTAATCTAATTAAAGCTCTGTTATTGGCAAAACCTGATATTATAGACATTTTGATTGTGGAATCAAATGTCATCAGTGTTACTCACCAGATTTCAGCTTACAATCATGGGTACAATGTTTCAACTTAAAGACAGCCGGAAGAACACATGGCGGTCAAAGCACTGGCATCAGATTGACCATGTACTAGCAAATCAAGCTGCAAAGCAACACGTCATAGTGACTGTATCACACCGCGTAGTCTTGTTCTATGTGTTCCCGCCTGGTACGTGTGAAGGGTCACGTGGTGTGATCGTGGTAGTTGGAAGATGGCGGAATAAGAAGTGGACGAATAAACTATGTGTGTTATCTTTCACTCTGAGTTATGTTTATACTGGCATGTTACATGGTGGCAGCGTGTTGCGAGCGGTAACAGACTATCAACAGTGATACGAGTACAGTCGGTGAAACTCGTACT